GTCGAAGTCATTTTAACAGTTGAACTTTTTTAAGTTGATTTGCATAGTAAAGACCAGTAAATTTGGGATTTAAAATTACACCATCCTAATCCTTGTTTAATTCTCTATAAAAAATATGTTCCAAAAATTTTTAAAATATATTTTTTTTTTTATGACGAGGTGGTTTATTTTGTGAGAGTCAACAATGAAGTCTCTACGATGAACAGAACCCGAGATATAACAATTTGAAGAAGTACATGATTATTTAGTCAGAATCACGAAAAAATCCAAAATTTGACAGATCATATGTATGTATGTATATCCGAAGAAAAAAGGAAAAATATGAAGCCAATCGAAATTGTGAAACCAAATTTGGTGTCCGGTATGAAAACGAATGCTCCATATGTATGTTATATATATTATAACACAGGGGGATCCCGAATCCCGGTATTAGATGCCTTAACTCATAATGATTACTGTCCCTGCTTTCGAGTTAAGGCGCGAGTAAGCGTGGTAGCTTACTGAGTATGGTGGATACGGGGCGAATACGTTACATACACAACTACGGGTATACATACATATGAGCACGAGTTGTTATTTTTACTTTTTTTAGTGTATCTTTTTTAAGTTCTCATTTAAATACAGTTTTGCGATGGAATCTGGGTCTTTACGCAAAACGGAAGATAATGCAATATCTACGATAAGTGTGCCACGATTTTGCTTATATGTACACTTGCCTGCATATAGCTGCGAAAATATATTCTTTCTCAAATATACACAATGCAACCCTGCAGGGAAACCGCGAACTAGTGAATCAAATTTCTAGTTCCATACTAGATCTCTAACTAGATTCCGGCCAGTTGAAAATCAGCGAAATGTGGTTCTTTTAAAAACTATTTTATTTCACTTTTTTCATTAGAACTCTATGTCTAAGGTGACGAATTTAGAACTGGTTCGGTACTATAGAAAAATGTATGCAGCGGGGGCTTGTTTACTTTACACAGATATGTGTTTTGCGGCTTTTTCGTTCACATACGCTTCCATTCTACACTTCCCAGATGATTTTTCATAGCTTGGTTTGTAATATAAAACAAAAATTTGTGTTAACATTTTAACAACCTGTGATCTTCTGGAATCTAACCAATAAGCGATTCGAGTCCCATAGTAGGTTTTTACTATTATCAAATTTTAAATCACCCTGTTCCGATAAAAAGTTTCTAATTTCAAAAAATAAAACCTTATCGCACATCTACAGGGCAAGGTTTTTATTTTTCATGTCATACAATTTATTTTCGAGTAAACGTCTACAAAGTTCAATTTGAGCTCGTAGCGAATTTGGTTTAAATTCACTCGGAAGTGAATTGCAAAACCTACATGAAATGAAAGTCTTTTCAACCCCATTTCGATTGATATCCATCCTTTAACTTATTTAGCTTGTTAAATAATTTGAATGCAGCTTATCAAATGCATGGCAACCCTCCTAAATATATTTCAGAAACAAAGCCTTTTTTGAACAGGTGAAAACCCTCTTCAAACACTCAAAAAATATTTCCAGTGTTCAAACTAAAGACTTCTTAACACCCTTTCGTTTGACGTCAATATATACATCCATATTTTAATACATATTTGAATTGGGTAATTGCCCTAATTTAAGTTGAGTTGGCGTTTTCAAACAGGTGGCAATCCTCCATAAAGCCTTTTCAAAATTATTTCTATGATACCCATCTTTTAATAATTCATCCAACTTCTTAAATAATTTGCATGCCACTTTATAAACGCGTGGAAACCCTTTTCAAATGCTCTAAATGTTCAAACTTTTTTAACTTTTTAACACCCTTCGCTTCATATGTATTTCAAATAACTTGCGTAAAAGTTAATTAAATTCGAGTTTTTGAACAGGTGGCACCCCTCTTCAAAAGCAATTTCGCGCTAAGATATTCTTAAATTTTCTTCCTCTAACATTGCGATACATACTTTAATTAACTGAGGATTAAATTGAATTTTATATTTTAAACATGTGGCGACCCCGCTAAATATAGTTCAGAAATAAAAAATTTTCAAACCCATTCGAGTGATACCCATACCATACCCTTTTAATAATGCATTTAACTTATTTAATAATTTGAAATAAAATTTTAGACAGGTGGCAAAGCTTTCTCAACACTCTTCCGTTTGACATGGATATTTTGACATTTCATATAACTCTTGGATAAGTAAACTAAATTTGACACCCACTTCAAAATAAAATCAAACTGCTACCTTCTGAGCCCCCTTTCGTTTGGCACTCATATGCTGACGAATTTTTTTTCTAATTAATTTCCTTAATTTAAATTTAATTTGATTTTTTAAACAGGTGGCAACTCTCCTGAAGTTAGGTTAAGGAAGAAAGATCTTCAAAAACCATTTCCATTCATACCTAGCTTGTAACATTTGATTTTCTTTTAGATAATTTGAATATAATTTGTTATAAGGTGGCAACTTTTTTCAAAAAACTAACACCTTATTACACCTTACGCAGTCCCAGACTTTTAATTTGACACCTCATTTAGGAAAATCGAACGATCGGTGCGGTTATTATGGCAGTGCTGATTAAATAATTTGAATTCAATTGTTCTACAGGTGGCAACTCTGTTCGAAAAAATAAAACCAGTTTGCACATCTACAGGCCAAGCGCTTTAATTTGACAGTCAAATTTCAAGCTTTATACAAAACTAAAAAGAGTGCGCTTGCGGCGGAGCATAATATTGCATTTTCTGCATTTGATCACTTATCAGTGCTAATTGAAAACAGTGTTCAGTGATTCAAAAATTGCATCACAATTGCACACGAATGACATGTACAAATAACGCATAAGTAGATGCAATGATCATAGATTCCCCACTTCGCTGTTTGCTATTTATGATTAGTTCCTGCCGGTCGCTTAACGAAAGGTGAAAAAACGGGAAAGCCTAAAACGAAAAAACGGGAAAAATATGTGACCTGGTCTACGGAAAGGGGCTTAGGTGTCAAAAAATCAATTTTCACTTTTTGGTTGATTCGGATGGAAGATGAGATGCTTTGGTGATGGTGAAAAGCAGAAAATCCTAACTTGCTTAGAAGTGTACTAAAAATGTAGAGAAAGAAGGGTAAAAATACGACAAAATATAATTTATTGGTAATGAACAAAATACATTGAATTATAAGCTATAAAGACATGATTATACACTAGAAAAACGTATTATGGGCCAAAAATAATAATGCTGAGTAGTTTNAACGAGATAATGAGAAACTGACGAAACGAGTTGCTTACTTTTAACAGCTTTTTCACAGAAAACTAGTTTTCGCACGTAAGCTCCCTTTTCGTAGACCAGGTCACATATATAGAATTGCATGGACAAAAAGGGAATAAGCTCGCGCAAAACCTGGCAACACCGCTGGCATATTCCGCAAACCGCTTCTTTGCAAAATGTATCCATAAACAAAAGTAGCTCTGAACCAGTACTCCATGAACTTACAGGATTTTACACGAACTTGCAGGAAGTTGCAGGAAAAATGTTCCCGTACTCCAAAATCCTGTAAATGAGAGCGACTTTTCGAGAGTTGTGTAGAGATTGCAGTTGCAAGATTTTACCCGAACTTTTTTTTCTGGTAAAATCATGAAAAGTGTCAAGCAATCGCCGGTTGACGTTTTTACAGGAAAAATGCTTTTTTGTTCCCGTACTTTTTGTTGTTACTCACTTTTTACTCTCACTTCAGAGAGTAATTTTGCTGTTTGACAGTTTTACAGGATTTTTCACGAAAAGTATTGGATCAGAGCTTGGATGTATAAACAAAATGCAAGAATGATAGAATTCTGTCAAATTCACAGAGAGAGGAATAGCGGTACCGTGATTGGCGCAACCTCTATTTCTCTCAATCGTGAACAAAATGTATACACGCAAATTTATACATTTCGCTTATAGTTAAGTGGTGCATAATTTTAGGCTTCGTTCTTTGCATACAAATCCGCAGTCTACTTATAACATAAAAGTATGTTACCATATAAATATAATCTCAATCAAAGCTCGTTTGTTTATTACTCCGTTTACACTGCTAAATCTCAGAATTTTAGTTGTCAAATTTTTTTTTTGCTTATTATTCCCACAACTCAAGGAAAAGTTAAGTTTCTTCTCTGTGCCACTGTGATCACTTTTTTCTGCTATGTTAAGCAATTTAAGTATATTTTAACTTATTATTTTATTAAAAAGCCCTATTATTACAAACCACTTTCCCTTGTTAGCGTGAGCCAAGATCACTCACGCGCCCATCTCTAATATCTACATACCCACATTACCAGTTAATAAGAGAATTTTTCTTCATTTCTTTCCTGGGCATCGTTTTGAATTAGTTTTATTTGCTTCTTTTGCTTTTAGTTTATATTTAAAAAATCTCAGTTTAGCAATCCAAACTATAAACTGGCTGTAAATAGTAAATTTGTAGTAGGCATATGTATGTATGTGTGCTTGTATGTTGACACTGCAGGAGTGTGGCAAGTATCCTCTGTATCGTCCTACGAACATATCGGTCTGCAGTACTTGTGTGAACGTTCGTTCGTACATATATCAGTTTAATAATCTTTGATTAACCGGTTGGTTGTTGGTCACAGTGCTCTTCTATACCACACGGCAACAGTCGTTCTAGCTATGTATGTACTGGCCCAATACAAATGCTCCAGTCGGTTTTATTAACTTCTCAACTAAGGGAAGCCATAGACGGAGATGTACATAGCAAGTAGAAGCTGTTTTCTGCTCCTTATACTAAATACTAGAACTTCTCTTAATACTAGAACTATTTTACTGTTGTTGTTTCTCCATTTCAAAACTTACATATGTACGTATAAGTACATATGTATTATATATGTACATACATGATTATGTGATATAATGTTGCTGAAGAAAAGGAAGCTGTGTACATATGTATGTATTTATGTACATTGTTGCTAGAGGTTAGCGCTGTCTGGTAAGTGGCTTCTGGAGAATGTTATAAAAGACCAATTGAGTCTGTATGAACCGTCAGTTTCTTCTTGGCTGCAGAAGATAACTAGTAAAATTTACCAACTTTCTCTCACTGCAAGTGTAATGTTTTATTAATTGAGCTTTTATATTTAGTTTGTTTGGTAAAGTTTTGGTGATTGAAAAATTTAAAGTGTTGAAACTAAAATAAGCGTGACCCATATACATAAGTACATACGTACATATAATACTGCAAAGGAAAAACAAAGCAAAGCTCAAAAAAAGTAAGTTTTTATAACATACATACATATACAGTGGGGAGCAGAAATGAGTACATGATGATTTTTTTTTGTAATATTTGCAAGGTTTTTAAAGTTAAAGTTTTTGTGTTTTTTTCTTCACCTTTGAAAAATTTTGTCTAAAAATGTTAAGCTTTTTAATGTGATTTTTATTTTATTTTTTATTTATTTTTTTTGAGTATGCAGTTTTGTAGCCCATTAAATTTTAGCAGTGCAAGTTTTAAGCTGCTACAAAATCGCGTTTGTTTTAATATTTTTTATTTTGCTGACGACAAATCAGGTGCGTTCAGATTTGCTTTCATAATTTATATAGGCAAGCATAAGCAAATGCTTGAAAAAGCTTAAATATTTGCACATTTCTGGTAATGGTGGATGAGGTTGCCAAAATAAATGACTTTTTGACTTTTTTTCCTCGCTTGGTTCTTATTTATGATACGTTATTTATTTACGATATGTCTTCTCATTTCTACTTAATTTATTGACAGATTTAAGGGGCGGAATCATTTGATGAGCCGTAATTACAAATGAGCCATAAATTACGATAATGTGAACATACTTTTAATTTCGGCAAAATTAAATGGGTTTAAATTAATTGATGTCGATGTGAAATTAAGAATGAGCCCGAAATCAAGTTAGTGTAAATGCCAATAACAGAGCAAAAAAAAAGTAAAAAGAGGAGTTTCTTAATGTTGTTTTTAACTAAATACACGCTTATATCTATGTATAAAGGAAAGATTTTATCAGATGAAAAATTGGATTTTTTTTTGTTTCACATAAACACTAATCAAATTAGCCCAATCTGCAAGAGTCATATGCCATCACTTGGGTATCGCTTCGTATTCTGTTAACTATACCAATGACTGTTGCAAATGGTTAACGTGGTTTTTCTAAACTGAATTTGATTCAAACGCACTTGTGGTTACAACATCCCAAACAAGACTAAGTGGTTTTGTTTGGCTGTCCATCGAAAATCTAACTGCGGAAAATCTACACAAAAAATCAAGGAAAAATCGGTTGTAAGGTCTATGCACACAGATCAGTGCCGTATCAGTGCCGTATCAGTATCGCTCGGTATCACTGATACCAATTCACACATATCCGTAGGATTCCGTCCGTTGCTCTCAGTAAAGTGAAAAATGGGCTCACAAGGCGAGAAATTGGGTTATTCCATATACATATGTACTATTCCAAACATGATTTTTAAACCCGGTATTCCTATATTTGTTGTGAGACAAATTATATAATTCTGGATAACGTCGCACCAACTCGATTTTTTTTTTACTCCAAAACAATAGAAGCTTGTAATAAACTACCGTTAGCTCGTCAGATAAATACACAAAATATCGTTTTCAAGTTATTTTGAAAACACGGCACTGTGCCGGATGTGTCTATGTAAACATCTATTTGAGACTGTGGCAACGCTATTTTATTTTTCACTGACACTGATACGCCACTGATGTGTGGATAGACCTTTAGTGGTTTTTCCTTATATTTTATTAATAATTGCAAATACATATTTGTGTTGTTTCCAAATAAAAATATGACACAGAAATCAAAATAAATACTTTTTTGTTATCAAATATAAAAGGGTGCAAATGTATTATGATTCGCCCCGAGCGGCTAATTTCTCAAGGCCAGCCTTGTCTGCCATGAATGTATGTTGTGGTATCACCACTTAGTCCTTTTACTGCTTTTTCAGCATTAGCTAGCTCTTTTTTCCACTTTGGCGTTGATACAGCTACCCTGTAGTTAAATGTACCAGTTGTAAACCACCTCACAATTAGTATGACTAGTCAGCCAACTATCTTTTTTTCCATGCAATAAACTGGTTTTTTTAACATTGGGATGTGCTATGGAATAGCAATTGTGAGATTTCGGTCAGAAATATACAAGTTTCATACTAGTTCAAAATAGACAGAAAAATACTGGCCCAATTATGGACCGAAACCACTACTTTGCGAGTCAAAAAATTAAATGAATTCATGAATATACAATAAAAAAAAGAACTTTTGATTATTTATAATTTAATATATTACACATTTTTATTTAGCAGCCTTAGATGAGTATTAATTAAAAGAAAAAATAAATACATAAATATTTGAAACTTTCGAACATAAATTTAAAGACATTTACCGTTAAATGTTGTTTAAAGTAAAAGGCTTCAGGTACAATAAACTCAATATTTTTCCTCTTTTTTAATAATATTGAATATGCAAAAGAAAACATTTTGGTCAAAAATAAAATAAATACCTTAGTTCATTTTCGAGTGAACTTAAATAAAAATAAAAATTAGCATTAAATTAAATTAAATCCACGAACTTTGCACATTTCAGTCCTTCCTTTTTAAAATTGTATACAATTAGTAATTGACGCTTAAAATTTTAGATTTGGATAAGAATAAAATAAATAAATAATTTATGCAGTTATTAAATATTCCTAATTTTTGCCTATAGTTTGGCTTGTTGATTGACAATTGAAATTAATCAAATAGTTATATATCGTGTAATTGTCAAAAATAATTGAAAATGATCAAAAATAACAAAATAACCATGTAATTAAAATTAATGAATTAATTAACAAATTTTGCTTAATTATTAATCATTAAAAAGGTGCTCATATGGGTACTTAATCATTAAACGGCTATCCAAAAAAAAAAACATGTTTTAATTCATAACCGTTATGATTATTAATCATTATTTAACAGGTGTGGTATAATTGAATATGTAATCGCTTTAATGGTTTGCCATATACCCAAATAAAAGTTATAATATTTTGTGTACTTTATTGTATTAAACTGACGAAGTCAAATAAAACCGGGAATGAATAAATCGCATTGTACTTGGTACAAGTCTGGTCATTTTCGAACTTCTTGTACATAGAAGTTTAAAATGACTATAAAAATGGAATAAGCATAAAGTACAAAACCGCGTAACTGACATTTGCTGCCAAAAATTGGATTTGCTCACACAAGCTCTTGGCTCAAGCCTTATCCATTCGTCCTGAAATATACTAGCCAGCAATGCGATTGCTTTATAAAAAAGAGAAAACTATTTTGAAATATGAGTGTGGCTGACTTCCAAAACGTCAATTGCTTTGCATACGTACAAAGTATGATGTTCCATAACGCCGAACTACCAAATGTAGACGATGTATACTTTTCCAAAACGCATCCGAAAATTTATCGAAACGCATCGCTAGCGCAATCAGCGCATCAGAAACAAAGTTGATGCTTCGTTTGTTATTGGTTACCATTGGTGTTTTAAAAATGGAAAATTCAGAAAAATTGTTCATTGCTATATTGAGTATTTAAAATATGCAATGTATATGGTTGCAATGTGTCGCAACTCTGCATATACAAACAGTTTGAATACCGCAGTATAACAGTTTCCAAAAAATGTATTGATACGTTTTGGAAGTCAGCCTGTTTTTACTCTATAGAAAATAACTTATGCAACCTCCCATACGCGGTTTTGTACTTTGTTGATACGCGGTTTTGGACTTTAAACGACGATATGCACATACATATACATATATACAGCGTACAGCATACGTATTTATGTAAATATGTATATGTATACAATTGCATATATTTAGCTATTTGTACTTCGAGTGCGTTTTTATTCGTCTTCCTTTGGGTTTCGTCCTCAAGGGAATTTTTTATGTTTGTATATAAACTAAACTTGACTAATCACAACCGGTTAATGTTGCACGCAACAGGTCTTTCATGGTTAATCCTGTTTGCGTAGCTCACTTCAGCATGCATGGGAACTCAGGCATATCTAAAAATAAATTCTACTTTGACAATCTACGAATTACAGCATTGCTGCTTTCAGCCTTGACTAGAATCAGTAGCTTCGATTGCTACTCTTTTCCACTTTTCAATGCCAAAACGACGCACAACAAACTGTGAAATGAAAACGCATACATATATGTACTTGTAGTATTGCTGGTTTTTTTTGCTATTGCACATACTTACATACATATATGTATTTATCAATATATGCATGGGCTTATTCCCATATAAAAGAAACAAATTAGTCATTCCCATGATTTGCGAGAATTCGGCGCCATAAAAATTCCTTCCCAGGCTCGCGCTAGAGATAATCCAAAATTTGGTTTTCTTCATACAATTGTAATTGACTAAATATAAGTTTTTTATATTTTAATCTAACTTTGTAGTCAAAGTTAGGTTTTCTTTTTTTAAGTTAACGATAATAAAGCGGCAAGTTAAGTTTCAAAAGGAATAGTCCACCATACAAAGAATCGTCAGACTTTGGTCATTTCACTGTATGAACAGTTACTTTGGTAAAAAATTAATGAATATCACAAGTCATGTGCAGCCATCTAAAATGTGCAAATACGAATCCTGCTTATGGGCTGTTCCGCTGGCGTTGCCGAACGCGCCGATTATTCTTAAAGTCTACGGCGCCGCCGCCGCAAAGCCTATCGGCGTAAAGAACTAAAACGAGTTCGAAAGATTCGATATCAGTTATTCGATTTAGTACATATTATTTTGATATTATCGCCTTTTCCGTGCGTCCTTGTTTTTATTGAATATAATTTGGAATTCTTTTAGAAACGATGCGATTTTATTTTATCTTGCTTTATTTATCAAAGTAGTGCCCTTAGCAACTTTTCACTCTAAGCTAGCGAAATTTAATTTCAAAGAGAGAGAACATTTCTTTAGGAATACTTTTTCTGCTAAAAACTTTACTGTTAAAGACATCATGTTACTTTTTTCTTAGAGGAAATAAGTCAAAAGGGGTCTCCACATCCAGCTCGGAACTCAGTCGATTTTTACAATTACAATTTTTGCTAATTCTTAAAAAAAAATTTACTTTTCTTAAATTTTTTATTTTTTTTTCACAGATGCTAAAATATTTGCTGCTTTGCACTTTGCTTGTCCCTGTAGTTTTGGGTGCGCCGCTGCTTGGGGGCCAGGGCCAGAGCGACTTTGCTTCGCACATAGTGATCGTTACACCGCAGGCCCAAGTGCATCTTGAACCAGCTATTAAATATGATGCCGCCAGTTTCATTCATCACCTCTCACCATTAGCTCGCATCGCCGCTCCGCATGAAGAGACTATTGTATACGTTCCTGCTAGTGCTGGTGCGTCTATCATTCCTGTTGAAAGTGCTAGCGTAGGTCGCGCCAGTGCTAGCGAACAACCGCAAAAACAGGCATCCAAACAGTGGGATCAGATCTCTCAGCAAATTCAGCAAGCTGTTCAAACCGGTTCATCACAGTTAGGCCCTCAACTAAGCGAAGCAGCTTCCGCCGCCTCCAGTGCCGCTGCGGCAGCTGGCCAAGGCTTATTCCCTGCTCTATTCCCACCTGCCGCACCTGCATCTTCCGGTAGTTCAGCGATCAGCTCCACCGGCAAGGAGGATAAGCCGAAAATTGCTTATGAAGTTCCAGCCAACACCGAAGCCTTGCTAACCAGCAGCGCACGCATCTATGCACTTACACCGGCCGTATCACATGTTGTCGATTTTGTTCACTCGCCCATATTCGTTGGCCCGATCTCGGCAATACGAGCACGCAGCATTCAAGGTGATGCTCAGGCACCACTGACCACTGCCGCATTAGCGGGAGAAAAATCTGAACAGCTTCCATTAAAGGATATAACCAAGAATTTGAAAAAAGTAAGCCCTGCGCAAGCGAAGGAAGAAATTGAAAAAAGCTCAGACTATGGCAAATTATTGGGAGCCAATGCATTAAAAGAAGAAAAAAATCTATCGGATGAAAGTGAGGCAAAAAAAGAAAGTGAGGCTAATAAATTCAATCACTCTTTGTATTAATTTATTTATGTATTTATGTATGTATGTGCTTTCCAGAGCTTCCGGAGGATAACAGTAACAAATTTTCTGACATTCCAAAGGGGGGCCTTTCTCAAGCTCCTTTACCAGCTCTACCTTCTAAACTTAAAAGCGGGTCTTCTGACGACGTAAATATAAGCGACGATCATAAAGAGGCTACCAAAGGAGCCATCTCCGATCCAGAGCCTCAGCCTAAAATTGCTTAATTAATATTGCATAGAAAACATCATCAAGCAAGAGGAAAGATAAACCCAAACCGAGTACTCAATACCTATAATAACTTTTGCTGAGCCACAGTTAAATTCATCTAGGCGACCGTACTAACATCATAATATTCCTATTTTATCATACTAACCTACACATACTCTTGAAAAATTAAAGCGGGTAAAATTACTCGAAAAGCAAAAAAAAAACAACTTGTCACCGTAAGTTCATCATCATTCATAACCATAAAATATAACAGAACAATAAAAATACAGAAAAAATGTGTTTGCGTGTATTTCTGTTGCGTGTATGTAGTTCCGAGGGTTTTTCCCAAGGACTTGATGCTGTTTATAAGCAGACTTCAAGCGTTAACGGTATATCGTCCCATTTCTGCGTTAATATTGCATCTGCAACCAAGTCAGCTTAGAGATCGTAAAAGAAAATTATATTCAACAATTTTATTTAGCTTGAGGGCGTTTTTAATTAAATTTCTTGCGGGAAAAAACAACAATCTCCATTTTGGTAGAAGTTATAACTGCTATTTCGGAGATCGCCACATCTCCTAATCAGACTTCTTCAACTGGGATTCGATCCAACAACCCCAGCCGCCTAAGCCAGTAGTCTTACCCATTGAGCTACATAAAGCATTGTTCACTCAAAAGCGGTACGCGTTCCAGCGATTCCTGTACAGCAATTGTTTGAATGTATTAAAAGGTTGCAATGCAGATAGAGCTAGACAATAGATCTACCTTTATGGGGTTTAAATTTCATAGTGCTGGCTTTTAATTTGACAGTTTTATTCGCTTTGGAAGTGGCTGCTCAAAAAATAATGTTGAACGAATTCGTTGAAAATCCGACATCCCCGAGATCAAAAATCAAATTGAAATTAAATATACCAAAACCCTCTAATTTTCCTCAAAAAAATCAATGAGTGAGTTCGTTCTGCTTAAACTAACAGCTTAAGGATAAGGCTCTTTACTTCAATTATAAAAAAAAAAATCGGTTTATCGGAAGAAGATCGCGCAAGAGAATTAATTGGAAAACGATTATCCACAGTTCAGCGAATGGAAGCTATGGCAAGACTTAAACCTTATCGAGTTATATTATATAATTCTGTTAGATTAAATAACCACACCCGTTTACTTTACCCCAATGTTCACACCAAATGTGGTATTTTTTAGTAATGACTAAAAAACATGTTTAAAACTTGACTTCAGTCAACTCCCACGTTAAAAAGTTTAAGCTAAAAAGAAACAGGGTGATATCCTCTTAAAACTAAATTTATAGAAGTTGACACAACTCAATACGAGTACACCACCTAGAGCCAGAAACCTTAGCTCATCACTGCTGTGATTTATACTGCGCCTCAAAGTTTGCTGCTGCTGCAACAGATATGCCGCTACGACACAAATGTTTAAGTTTTTGTGTAATTTTGCGGCGTACTCGAAATTACAACTGTGATGAGCTAAATTCTGTGACTCTGTTGCTATAGAAGGGTTAATATCATATTCGTCATCAGTCACCTCAAGGAGCACTATGCACATCAAAATCAGTCAAATATGTACATATTTATGAAGTAAACGCATTTGTCCTGCTAGATCCTCAATTCATTCCAATATGCGTCTTACGAAAAAGATGCTCTATTTAATGAAGGAGGAATCGGTGGGCCGAGTTCTTGACATTTTTACATTAGCCAGTTATTGGAGTTTCGAAATATTGAAGATAAACTGTTGTACTCGATGTAACTTTTTTTATAACTTTTACTAATATAAAAATTTCAAAACTTTTTTAATAAAAAATGGCTTTTATCAAATATGTAATATAACTAACTATTCTTCAAACAACTATATTATTAACAAAAATAGCAAAAGAAAGTGCATACTTACCTGACGCTTCACTACCCATGTTGACAAAACTGTTATTTATAAATAAGAATCAAATGACAAGCGAAATTATTTTATCACCACTTAAAAGAAAAGACATTAATTCGACGAGTGAAAGAAAAGCCAACTTTGCGCTTTTGCTAAAGCTACTGCGTTGCATGAAAAGTCAAAATTTCTATGTTACATTGTGGACTGGTTTATAAGGAGTATTGCAAAGTTATGTGTGACAAGGATTAAGGAATTTAGTTTTTATATTTTTGCCGTCGTATTGAGTCACTTTGTCCTTATGAGCACCGTTCGGTGTCGGCGTAAAACGGAGAAGCTCTGCCAAACACTAACGGATGTGTAAGCGCCAATCTATTACACTGATCAACAAAATTCTGTTGAGTAAAATATTGTGGCCGATCCTTATAGGATTTACCCCGGGGAGAATCCGAATCTGATATTGGATTGGTTCTAGTTTTCGAGCAACTTAGCCTTTTAGACATTCAATAGTTCTTATCTGAGCCTGCATAGTACTGAAATGGCATGTAATAAATGTGTTCTTAGAGTTTTGAGCGTTTTGATTGATCCTAAAAAATTATATTGACCTCAAAAGGGAAGAACTCATCTGCTTACGTGTAATTCCTATCGGGAAAATAAACCCTCAATGCGCGACCTCTTAGAATTGCCCTAGAGGAGGAAGGTCAATGTGTGATCATTACTAAGTAGGAGATCAATTACGAAAATTTGAGTCCTGTTCCGGTCGCATTGCAGGAATTTTTTTCCTTCTAATGTACATACTAGGGATGTGCCGGATATAGATTTTGCCGGATAACCGGATTCCGGATATCCTGTAAAAAGTAACTGCCGGATTCGGATATCCGATCGGATATCCGGTAGACTTTTGCCCTTAATAAATTTCACAATATTGTTTTTTTGCCGGCTCGAGTTCATCTCGACATCCGCACCGTTTCTGATGCTACAGAATTTACCACTTCGAAAACACAATTACGCACACATCTGTGCGATG